ACACGTCTGCGTGTGTGTGTGTGTGTGTGTGTGTGTGTGTGTGTGTGTGTGTGTGTTTGCTTTCACGTGCATGCCTGTCTGGTCCACATGCATGTGTGGGAGGCTGTGCTATGTGAGTACCGGGATTAGTAAACAAGAGGTTATCACAGTGGCTGCTGCCAGACAGCTTGCTGTTGTTCTCTGTAGCCTGACCCTCTTCAGCCACATCCATTAAACATCCAGGTTGAGATGCTCATCACTGCAAAACCCATCAATGAGGTCCTGTCCCTTGTAGTACCTAAGGGCATTGTTGATATGGTTTTGTTTGAATCAAAGGCAGTTTTGGGAGAGTATTTTGACCACTTTAAACCACAAACATGTATTCTGAAGTCTTCCTGAACTTTCTCAATCAGTAGCTTTAAAGTTAGAAACAAACAGTTATATGTCATATGAGTGGCATTTTCCACTGACACGGTGTGTTTAGTTTTTCTTTTGCACCACAAAAACTGCCTGACCTTTTACTGCGTGAAGCTGTTTAAATAGGCTGGTTCTCAAAAGACACCAAGACAGAAGTGGCTCGGCATCAGCACCCATGTCTATGGGAAAAGAGATGCCCTTTATCTTTACAGAACAGAGGACAATACATTATGAGGGTAAGTTAGGTATGCTATGAATAGCACAAAACGGAGAAGCTGGGTTCAAGGGGCGTTGCAAAGAAGCTTTCAGAGAACACTGATTATTGGTGTCCACTGTTTCTTGCATCTATCCATACATCTATCCATCCATGCAGGCTGATGGCATTTATAGTGACTTGTTGTGAGTAATCTGATTACTCAGTTACCTCTGTTTTATACATTTAGAGAAAGCATTATCTTCCCTTATTCTGTGCATATTTTCTTAGAATATATGCATTCCATTTTGGTTCATATGTGATAAGATCATTGCACTGATGTATCACTTTAAGGGCTCGCGAGTTATAATCTTCACAGCTGTTGTTCCAAACCTTTATACAATTTTTCTG